GTCAAAATCCGTGCGACGCACAGCAGTGCGGCCGGCACCGCGTGTTTGTGTTGCGTGAGTGGGCGGCGGCTGCAAACAGAAGGGGAAAAAAAGGGGTACGCCGCCCGTGGGAACGTGCATGGGGTGGCGAAGCAAAGCAAAACAAAAAGCAAAGAAAAGAAATCGAGAGAGGCCGTAGGGAGCCTATTACTCCAGCACAACACCAGGAGCAAAAAAAGAAGCAAGCGAAGAAGGGGAAAGAGGAAAAACAAGAAAAGAAAACATAGAGGCCTCCTCGGACAGCAACTTAATTGGAAATCAAGCAGCGGAGGTGCTGCGACGGGTGCGGCAGCCCCGCACCGCCTCACATTCTGCAAAGAGCCGCAACGCCGCACAGCTCCAGCAGCAGCAGCAGCAGCACTTGCGGCACACGCCAATGCACAGTGACGTCGCCCTTTGAGCTCCGCGCCCTCGGGGCAGCGGTGCTCGCGGCATTAGCGACTCTGGCGGCGGACGCTGCACCGTCAGCACCCCCACCTCCCGCCTGCGTTTCGGGCGAGTTGCCGGCGTCCGGCGGCGGGATAGCGACTTTGCCGGCCGCGAGTGCCCTGACATCGCCCTCCTCCAGCGGGCGGTTGTACAGCAGGACGTTCGTCACCGTCACACGGCTGTCTTCACTCGCTGGCTCTGACGCGCCGCCGCCGTCCCCGCCAATGAAGAAGTGCGAGATCGTGCATGGCTGCGATCCGCACCGCTGCTCCGGCTGCGGGCCTCCCACACGCACGCCGTCAATGTACACGGAGCCCTGGCCGCCGCCCTGGCGCACGATGGCCACGTTGTAGCTTTTGTTTGGCTCCCACGTGCTGATGTCTGCGCTGCCCGCTCCGTCCCCGCACAGCACACGCCACTTCTTGTCGCTCGTGTACGACAGACCGAAGGCTGCAGTGCCGCCCCCGCCATTTGCATACATCTTTGCCCCCAGCAGAGGCAGAGGGCTGTCGCCCGTGGGCGCCGCGTGGATGGCCACCGTCGCCACAAGCGTGAAGTTGTAGTTTGCAAAGTAGTACGGCTGCACCTGCCCCCCTTTGGCCACGGGCCACTCCGCCCACGAGCCACGCCCTTTGAACGTCACACCCCCCTCCGTGCCCGCCGCCACAGCACCACCTTTCACAGTCGCGTTCACGCCGAGGTACTCGTCCACCCACGCAGCCCCAGTGACGGTGCCAGCCAAATACCCAACCAGCCCGGCCGTGGGCAACGAAGGGCTGCACGCCCCGCGACTCGCAGCAGCCGCCGAGGAAGGGCATAGCCGCCCGACACGTGCGTCCACTGCCTTCCAAGTCTTCACCACCTCCTTTACTCGCCCCAGCTGCGCCGTGAGTTGCGCCGCAAAAAGCCTGGCTGTTTGCGCTTCCCCACTCTTCCGCTTCTCGTACACCGAAATCAACTCCGTGCCACCTTTCAGCAGCAGCGCACTGGCAGCGGCGGCGGAGTCGTCTGCAGTGCCTGCGGTGGGTATCGGCCCAGCATCGACAACGTGGGCGGTGTCGGCGAGCCAAAGGTGGAGTTGGCCCTTTTTATTTGCCGTTTTCGCCCGAATGCAGCGGCAGGGTGACGAGCAGCACTCTCCTTTCGTCAATTAGGGCAGTAATAAACCCACTTTGAACGTCGGGCCCACCACGCGCAGGTGCGTCGCCCCACACGCGCGAGAGCGTCCCGAGCGCCTCCGTCCACGTCTCCCCTTTATCATCCGACTCGTACACTCTGCGGCGGCCGTCCTCGCACGCGGCCATCATGAAAAGTTTGTTGTCCTCCCACGCCACGACGGAGGGACTACTGCAGCCCTCCGCCGACATCCCCTTCGACAGCCGCCACGTGCCTGCAGGGTCGCTGGAGTGCAAGACGAGCGACACGGCCTTTTCGGCCGTACCCTCCCCCGTCGCCTTTTTCTTTGTGGCCTGCACCGGGAAGACAAGCGTGCCGTCTGCCGTTAAAACACCGTTCCCACCGCCGCCAATCAGCCGCGACAAGGACTTGTGTTCCTCAATTGTAACAGTGAGGCTCAGTACGAAGTTCTCGCTCCACCCAATTTTTTTGCCATCGCTGGCATTTCCTTTCACCAGCAAAAGCCCCCGGCTGTCTGCACCGGCCGCCACACCACCAGCCCCATGCAGTGCAGCGCTGTAGTTTCCCAGCAGCATGTAAACATCGGCCCCTTCACGGCCGCCGTCGGTCGGCTCAAGTGTGTTTTCTTCTCGCCTTTAGTGCATTTGTCCAAAACCTGCGGCTTTGGCGCGCTTGCATCATTCAACGCCACTTCTGCAGGGCCGGCACTTGCCGTGAGGTGTTGCGACAAGATGGCCGTAACGGTGTCGGCACTTTCCTTCTTGCAGTGCGCCTCAGCGATGAGAAACGGCTCATTCCCCACTTGTAGAAGGACTGGGGCGCGCAGCGAGTCGGCCGTCCCCTCGCCTTCAACTGAGACATCCTTCCAGCAAAAGTTAGCATCACCTGCCGCACTCTCATCAGCGTTGGCCTCAGCCCCACAGCCGCCGCACATCAGCAGCGCGCAGAGGAGCAGCAGCGCCGCAGCAGAAAACAGATGCCGAGGCATGTGGGGTCAATCTCTCTCTTCTTTCCTCCTTGCGGTGGTTCCGTGCAGGCCGCGAGTATGTGTGCGTGTGTTGCGTTAGCTGCAAAGCCTTCAAGGCGCACAGCGGCGGCAAGCAGCGTTTGGTCTCTTTTTCCTTCGGCGTGGGAGAATGGGGGAAAAAAAATAACAAAACAGAGGCGCGGCCCCACACTGTGGCGGCGGTGGGCATCGCCCGGACCGCAGGAGAAAAGAAGAAAAGACGACGGAGAATAGAAATGACTAATCCCCGCAGGAACCCCCAAAATTAAGAAAAAAAAGAGGAATTGCTTCGGCAGGGGTTTCTTTAACTCACGCGTCCAGCAGCACAAGGGGACTGTGAGAGATACATGTGTACAGTTTATTGCCTGCACGGATAAAAAAGAAGCAACAACCACCCCGGTCGCACACACAACCCCACGCACGCACGCAGACACATCACATCACTTTGGCACCTCACGGTGGCCGCGGCCTCGTGCCTCATTTGGGCAGCCCGTGCGACGCACAGCAATGCGGCCGGCACCGCGTGTTTGTGTGCGTGCGTGTGTGGGCGGCGGCTGCAAACAGAAGGGAAAAAAAAGGGGCACGCCGCCCATGGGAACGCGCATGGGGTGGCGAAGCAAAACAAAAAGCAAAGAAAATAAATCGAGAGAGGCCGTAGGGAGCCTATTACGTCCAGCACAACACCAGGAGACAAAAAAAAGAGCAAGCGAAGAA